TTTCCTGTCTGGAAAAGGAGCTACACTCTCTCCGAGACTGTCCTGGAAGACAACTGGAGGAAATCCTCGTTATGAAACGTATATAAAGTTATAAATCTCATATCTCGAAGTATATGGTCAAACAATTAATGCAAAAGACTGGTAGCATGGAAAGATTTTCAATGAGTGTAAACATGGGTTGGAAGATTTGGCATACAGGAGAGTTACCAATAATTTAGATCCCTATGGGACGATGCTGGTCCCAATATCCATGTTGATCTGTAAATCTGTAAATGTAGGTAACCAGGTACCCACAATAACTAATCATAAATGACATATCTGTATCATAACCCTGCACAAATCTGTGGGTTAAAGCTTTTAACTAAGATTGAAATATGCCAATTAATTTTAGTTCAGCACAAAACCACCACCCTTACATCTGATTGTAGAAAGACGAGTCCAGTAACTTTTTTTCTTTCTCCAGTATATACTGAGAGGGGAATTTATCAAAACTGGAGCAGACAAAATCTGAAGCAGCTGTGCTCAGCAACAAATCAGCTTCTTTCATTTTCAAATCTTAACTGAACAAACTGAAGAAAGACGCTGATTGGTTGCCCTGGGCAACTGCTCCAGATTTAATCTGCGTCAGTTTTGATCAATTCCCCTCCCTGGTTTGTATTTTTGCAGTGCAGTTGCTGACTAGGAGGTATGCCCTACATTTCAAAAGAGAGAGCCCCTAAGGAACTCTAAGAAATGTTAGTATGCATGCTTGCATCTCTTCTTTTCTGCTTTTAATATCTCCTGCATGGTAAGTACTTTTGACCACATGGTCAATGATGCATTGTTGGCTTGTTTATTGAATGGACAGGCTTCCAAGGCTGTCATTCTTTTCTTTCCCTTACTTCTTGTTGAATCAATGACCTAGAACAAACAAGAGCCAGCAACATTTCTTTGAACTTTAGCAAAACTGGAGCAGACAAAATCTGGACCAGTTGCCCAACCAATCAGCTTCTCTCTTCAGTTTGTTCTGTTAAGAATTGAAAAATAAAAGAGAAGCTGATTGGTTGCTGTGCACAACTTCTCCAGATTTTGACTGCTCCGGTTTTGATAAATTCCATTCCAGGTGTTTGAAATTCAACTATTCAAATTGCTGGGGACAGGTTGCTGAGCGAATGGTGAAAGGGTGGTAGGGTATATATTAGTCTTATCGCATAAAGCACAGGAGTGCTGGGGTAATCTTTTTTTATCCCTTTTACATTAAAACCACTTGTATGTATGTACTTGACAATACACAATTAGTATTATATATATTATACACACACACACACTACTGTGCAAAAGTTTTAGGCAGCTATGAAAAAATGTCTGAATGCTTTAAAAAAAATCAAATAAATATTTGGTATGACTACCCTTTGGCTTCAAACCAGCATCAATTCTTAAGGTGCACATACACCTGCCGATTATCGTACGATAATCGCGGGTGATCCCTCGATCGTACGATAATCGGCAGGTGCATGGGCAGCGTGAGGCCGCTTCAACTGTAAGGTCGCATGCTGGAAAACCTGCCGAAAATCATGCGATTTTCGGCGGGTTGGTGGCGTGCTCGAAAGACGAATGCCGTACGGGCTGGTGTGCGCGAGCGCACACTGCCCGCTCAGCGGGGAGGGCTTGCGATGATCGCAAGTACAATCTGCCTGTCCAAGATGGGCAGATCATACGAAATTTTAATCACCTTACAACGAAAGTCTTGTGATGATTGTAAGGTGTATGGGCAGCTTTACACTTGCACAAAGTCAGGGATTGTGTAGGATTAAAGTCAGGTGTATCAATAACCAATTATACCAAGCAGGTGCTAATGATCATTAATTTCATAGATAGGTTGAAACACAGTCATTAACTGAAACAGAAACCGTTGTGTGGGAGGCTTTTAACTGGGTGAGGAACATCCAAACTCTACTACTAAGGTGAGGTTGTCGAAGACCTTCTTTATGTCACAGGTCTGAGCACAGAAACAAGATACAAGGAGGGGAATTTATCAAAACTGGAGCAGACAAAATCTGGAGCACCTGCACAGCAACCAGTCAGCTTCTCTCTTTCATTTTCAAATCTTAACTGAACAAACTGAAGAGAGAAGTTGATTGGTTGCCATGGGCAACTGCTCTAGCTTTTGTCTGCTCTAGTTTTGATAAATTCCCCCCAAGGTAGTTATACTGCACCAGCAAGGTCTCTCCCAGGCAAAGATTTCAAAGCAGACTGGGGTTTCAAGATGTGCTGTTCAAGCTCTTTTAAAGAAGCACAAAGAAACAGGTAACGTTAAGGACTGTAGACGCAGTGGTCGGCCAAGGAAATTTTAATGCAGGAGATGAAAGACACATCATGCTTACTTCTCTTCCACATCAGAAGCTGTCCAGCAGTGCCGTCAGCACTGAACTGGTGGAAACCAGTGGGACCCAGGTACACCCATCTACTGTTCAGAGAAGTCTGGCCAGAAGTGGTCTTCGTGGAAGAATTGCGGTCAAAAAACCATACCTCTGATGGAAGCAAGGCTAAGCGACTCAAATATGCACAAAAACATAGGAACTGGGGGGCAAAAAAATAGCAGCAAGTGCTCTGGACAGATGAGTCAAAATTTGAAATATTTGGCTGTAGTAAGAGGCAGTTTTTTCGCAGAAGGGCTGGAGAGCGGAACAATGAGTGTCTGCAGGCAGTAGTGTAGCATGGTGCAGGTTCCTTTCAAGTGTGGGGCTGCATTTCTGCCAATGGAGTTGGAGATTTGGTCAGGATCAATGGTGTCCTCAATGCTGGGAAAAAAGAGCAGATACTTATCCATCATTCCACACCATCAGGGAGGCCCTTGATTGCCCCAAATTTATTCTGCAGCAGGACAACGACCCCAAACATGTCATTAAGTACTATCTTCAGTGTAAAGAAGAACAAGGAGTCCTGGAAGTGATGGGTTGGCCCCAGAGAACCCTTGATATCAACATGGAGTCTGTCTGGGATGACATGAAGAAACAGAAGGATTTGAGGCAGCCTACATCCATAGAAGATTTGTGGTTAGTTCTCCAAGATGTTTGGAACAACCTACCTGCCAAGTTCCTTCAAAAATGTTGTGCAAGTGTACCTAGAAGAATTGATGCTGTTTTGAAGACAAAGTGCAGTCACACCAAATATTGATTTGGGTTTCTCTTCTGTCCATTTACAATCCATTTTGTTCATTGATAAAAATAAACTATTAACACTTTTATTTCTGAAAGCATTCTTCCTTGCAGCATTTCTTTCTGCATATACATTTAGAAGTACCTTGGCAGTCCCCATACCTAGGGTGCTCAAATAAGCACATTTCAAGATTTCAATGAGGCATTGCAAGCCAACTGCCCTCTCTGACAGCTGGTTAGTGGTCCATAATGGCCAATTAGGTGGTACATGAGTTTAAAGCGGACAAGCCTCCTATTGACACTACCAGGAAGGATTGACATTTTCATTTAGGAATGACTCAGAATTCAAAGCTCCCAAGCTGCTAGCAATGCCATTTAAAGAAGAACTCCGGGCAAAACTTTCATTAAGCTCTTGCGGCGGGGATACCCCCGGATTCCAAAGCTTAACTGCTTGCTTTCATCTAGGTGCTCAAGTAAAAACAGTTATACTCACCTGAACCTTGCAACCGGTTAGCTGTAACAGTGCTCCTTCCACCCTGTCTCCTCCTATGCTGCAGCAACGGTATGTCCCTTGGCGTCCTCGTGTCCTATATAAAAGTGTACTGGATGTGATGACTTGAGGACATTTAGACTGCTGCAGTGGAGAGGGAGGCTGAAAGGACTGGTTTAAGAGCAAGCCGGCACCGAGGATCAGGCGAGTATGAAAACGAGCAGGCAGTTAACCCTTGCGGGGTAGCTCCACAGCATGGGTTAATAAAAGTTTTGCCCAGAGTTCTTCTTTAAAGTTATGTGCAGGCAGCTCTAGATCCCTGCCATCCTTTAATGTAGTCAGTGTACAGCAGGTTTATTAATAATAATATAATATTAATAATTCATGATGGTGAATAATAATGGTCTCGCCATATGCACACAATTCAACAAAGATAAAACTGCAAAATTTCCATTATTGAGTGTAGTGGTAGAAATAAAAATCTCATGAAGATTTTAAGTTCCTTTAAAGGAGAACTATTGGGTAAGTGTTTTTCCCTATAGTTCTCCTAGGGGTCACAGGAGTACATATACTAGTGTCCTCCCGTTAACCAAAACTCAGTATATCTCAAGCTACAGCTCGCGGTATACTGAGCCGCCGCAGCCGGGACGGATCCAGACATTAATGTCGAGATTCACCCAGCTGCGTGAGTGACAGCTAGCTCTGCCTATCTAGAGGCAGAGCCAGCTGTACCCGCCCCCTCCCCCGTCCGTTCCTCCACTCTGGAGGAGCGCTGGAGGATCGGAGAGGGGAGAATCCCTGTAGGGAGCCGTGAGTGACAGTCACAGCTCTCTGAAGGGACATGATCGAGAAGTAAGCAAGCAACGGTATGTGTTCACTCACTTCCCGATCTATTGAGCCGACGTGTGACGTGTGTTTCATTGTCACACGTCGGCTTGAACTATGAGGATGGGTGATTTTCACTTGCCTCATAGTTCTCCTTTAACTTGGCAATTAACAACTGTTTACTGCACAAGCAGAAAAGCCAACTGGCATTGTATGTCTAAAAAACCCTATGTTTGTAGCTACCACAGTCTGCTGCAACTTCCACATTCAAACAAAGGAAACCAAAGTGCCCTAGTCTGCCCTTCTGCAGGTACAGGAATAGCAGAAATATTAACATTCTAGCTCAAACATAGGATTCACAAAAAAAGAGGAGCCCTGGATGCATATAATTCATGCCAGGATAAATCAGAACATTTCCATATTTTACTGAAAATTTCATAAAGATTTTTAAGCTACCTTAACGTCACATTTCAAAACAGCTTTGAAATACCAAGCAGCAAAGCAAACGAAAATGCATTGGTTTACAAACAAGGAAATTCTGTGCTTACCTTATCCACGCACATTGCAACCTTGATGTCTTGTTTGGTAATTTCATAATGCCTGATATTCCGTACATAATTCCCAGCTAGTTTTAATATATCAGCAGAAATGTATTCTAATACTGCTACTATGTAAACAGATACTTGATGGTCAATTTTATAACCTAAGATCTCCTGTTAAAAAAAAGAAATAAAAATCTGTCACCAATGTATAGTGTGTTACAGAGGTACGTGTGGTATTTTCAGTGCATTCAGAAAGTATTCAGACCCCCTTCACCTTTTTTACAATTTTGTTATGTTGCAGCCTGATACTACAGTTGTTGAAGTTCTTTTTTTTTTTGCCCTCATTAATCTACACTTAGTACCCCATAATTACAAAGTGAAAACAGATTTTTAGAAATGTCTGTGAATTTTTTTTAAAGAAAAAAACTGCAATATCACATGTACTTAAGTATTCAGACCCTTTACTCAGTACTTTGTTGAAACACCGTTGGCAGCAAATACAGCCTCGAGTCTTTTTGGGTATGACGCGACAAGCTTTGCACACCTGGATTGGGGGAATTTCTGCCATTCTCCTTGTCAAATCCTCTCAAACTCAGTCAGGTTGGATGGGGACTGTCGGTGGACATTTTCATTTTATATCCATTTTCAGGTCTCTCCAGAGATGTTCCATAGGGTTCACGTCAGGGCTGTCTGGGCCACTCTAGGACATTCACAGATATGTCCCTAAGCCACTCCTGTGTTATCTTGGCTGTGTGCTTAGGGTCGTTATCATGTTGGAAGGTGAACCTTCGGCCCAGTCTGAGGTCCTGAGCGCTGGCAAACAGGTTTTCATGGATGATATCTCTGTACTTTGCTCCATTCAGCTTTTCCTCAACCCTGACCAGTCTCCCAGTTCCTGCTGCTGAAAAACACACCCACAGCATGATGCTGCCACCACCATGCTTCACTGTTGGGATGGTATTGGGCAGGTAATGAGCAGCACCTGACAAAGTTTGGAATTGAGGCCAAGCAGTTCAATCTTGGTTTCATCTGACCAGAGAATATTGTTCCTCACAGTCTGAGAGTCCTTTAGGTGCTTTATTGCAAACTCCGAGCGGGCTTTTATGTGTTTTGCACTGAGGAGAGGCTCCTGCCTAGCCAATCTGCCATAAAGGCCAGATCGGTGGAGGGCTGCAGGATCTCTGGAGCTCAGTTGGGTTCTTGGTCACCTATCTTACTAAGGCCCTTCTCCCCTGATTGTTCAGTTTGGCCAGGCGACCTGCTCTTGGAAAAATCCTGGTTGTGCCAACCTTCTTCCATTTGAGAATTATGGGGGCAACTGTGCTTTTGGGAACCTTCGGCGCAGCAGAATTTTTTATTTTTTTGTAGCCTCCCCCAGATCTGTGCCTTGCAATAATCCTGTCTCTGAGCTCTGCAGGCAGTTACTCTGACCTCATGGCTTTTGTTCTTATACAGAATGCATTGTCAGCTATGAGAGATGTGTGCATTTCCAATCAAGATGTAGAAAAATCTCAGCGACAATCGAGAAATGGGGGGCACCTGAGCTAAATTTCAAGTGTTGTTGCAAAGGGTCTAAATACTTAATCCAATGTGATATTTCAGTTTTTTCTTTTTAATAAATTCACAGGACAATTCTAAAATTCTGTTTTCACATTGTCATTATGGGGTACTGAGTGTAGATTGCGAAAAAAAGAATTTAAACAACTGTAGTATCAGGCTGCAACATAACAAAATTGAAAAAAGTGAAGGGGGCCTGAATTCACTGTAATTCATTGGTGTTATAAAAAATTTCCATAACATTTTCTTTGTTTGCTTTTGATGCTTTTAGAAGCACTATACAGCAGATATATTAACACATAAACGTCAGCATCCATTTCCAAGTTCTCCAGATATTAAGAACTGCAAGGCACAGAAGACCGTACAATAGATATGAATGGTCCACAGCAAAAATCACGTTAGCAATGCCTGTGTTTTTAGTTTTAATACGCATCACTCAAAAGGAGAAATTAGCCAGACGACACTATACACCATATAAATCCGTATGGAAAGAAAGTGGTTTTCTGGGCAGAAAAACAGTTATCATATGCTTGTTTGTAAGTTACTTGTCTTGTTTGATATTTCATCTACATTTTATAAGTCGCTTTCTTGAAGATAGAGGATGGATCATTAATCATAAACTATATAAATGTAATAAATACAAATGTTACAGAATATCCAACTTACAAGCAGATCTGAATGCACTGTGTGATTGGGCATCTATTTGGCAAATGAGGTTTAATGCTGAGAAATGTAAAGTTATCCACTTGGGGACTAAAAACTTGCATGTGTCACACTCTAGGGGGGGAGTATGTTTAAGGGAGTCAATGATGGAGAAAGAGCTGGGTGTTCTGGTAGATCATAGACTTAATAATAGCATGAAATGTCAAGCCGCAGTTTTTCAAGCAAGCAAAATACTTTCTTGTATTAAAAGGGGTATACACTCCAGAGAGAAACATAATCCTTCCCTTGTACAAAGCATTAGTAAGACCTCATCTAGAATATGCAGTTCAGTTTTGGGCACCAGTTCACAAAAAGGATGTTGTGGAACTGGAGCAAGTGCAGCGAAGGGCAGCTAAACTCATAAGAGGCATGGAGGAGCTCAGCAATGAGGAAAGATTAGCTGATTATCCATGAGTTGTTTTTTCCCATTCAAAACCCTTTTCATAAAAACTGTACCACTCATAAATGCCAGAGACATATGTTTATTAAGTATAGCATAACAATGTCATACATTTCTCACCAAATCTGCATACAGTTATCCACAATCCAAGTCAAAAACCTCTAAATCCGTACTTCTCCCTCCAAAAATTGTCAACAGGTGGGCCCTTTAGGTAAAAAATTGTCAGCCAAGATTCTTCTTAGAACCTGGGTCTTATATCATCTGGATCATATACCAGATAAGGTTTTGTCCCATCTGTCTAAAGGACATTTTCTCAGAAGTATTGTGGCTTGTCAATATGCATTTTAGCATTTTTATTCCTCTTTCAAATGTGGAATGCTGCAGGGTTTTCTTCCTACTCTTGGCTATCCTCTTGTCTAAACTACAAAAAAGTTATTTTGAATCTTGCAGGTATTTGCCTAAGGCATCCATCTTGTGGTGATTTAACCCTGCAGGTGCTGCCACTTGTAGATCTGCTATTAAAGCTTTAGCTGGATCTTACAGAAATGTGCTGTTTGCTAAATCGTAAGCTTCAATATTGTGCCTTAACTCTTTGGGTGCCTTTCATGTGAGTATTTTGCCATCACCTGTGGTTCCTCAGTGCTGTTCATTTTTATATGTAACTTATGGAGTTGTTGCTTCAGTGCAGGCTTATTCTGCCTGTTATTCAGTAATCTTTTTCATGGTCCTTTATTTACAGCATTGTTGTTTTGTGCATGGTCCTTTATTTACAGCATGTGTTGTTTCATGGATTGTAAACCTACACAGCCCTTTGCCACCACTGCTTCTCAGAGTGCACATGCATGGACTTCTGGATTATAACGCTCTCATTGCCAGCACCGCTCCCAAAGGACAGAGTAACCTGCTCAATTTGGGATGAAAGGTCCTCTTCAAGCTGTGAAAAAGTTGCTACACATTCAAGACCCTGCTATTAGAGTCCAGCTAACAGAATCCATCACAAGTATTGTACAACCTTTGAGCAGTGCTGAGCCTGCGATCTGGCAGGATGCTGTGCCACGTTTTCCCTGCAGGTGCAGCAATAAAGAGGCAGAAAGTTGGAGATATGAACTGTCAATTACTAGCCCAGTCAAGCGGCTACATCCACAAGTTCCCCTCTAGCCCTATGGCAGTTACAGAGTATTGCCAACATACATCTTAGGTGATAATTCACCAGCAAGGATTTGCTTACCGTGGGCCTTTACTCATCCCCCTAATCAGGGCAGTTAAAAAGGCCATATTTTGGGAGGAATATATACCCATTCAAGACAAGGTTTGTTACTCTAACTTATCCTCCTGATTGATGCAACAGTCATCTGGCTGGTTAGGCATAAGGACACCTTATATGACTAAATAAAGTTTATATCTTTTCTGGCGCACCCATAGGCCAGTAATGGCTCTTACTTGCCAAGGGAATCCATACTTGGCCTAACACAGAAGCAGACCTTTTGGCTGGCAATAAGGTCTCAGAGGCATGGTAGTTTCTGAATGAAATTATATGAGCAAGTGACCTTATAGTGTGGCTGCTATGGATATGCTGCATTCTTCATCCGGGACTGCAGTTACCTTGAATTGGTACAGATCTCGCCATACACAACAATATCTAAAAAGTCAAAGGGGACAAAAGAATTCACAATCCTTCTTTCTTCATTTTAACAAACCAAGATTACTCCCTCCCAGGAGTCAGTCATTTTGAGGGTTTCTCTTGTTGGTTATGTGTTCAGGTAAAGCACTGAGATCTTGAGGAATGCTGAATTAAGTTTTACTTGCTTAGGACATTACATGTATGAATATGGCATTGTGAAGAAAAAGAATTTCTGGTGCATCATAAATAAGCATGCACACAGACTAACTAGCATTCCACTACAGCACCATCTACAGCTCAAAAAGACATATCAGTACATTAGTATATGCTGTTACATTTCCAACACCTCTAACCAAACTTACCCAGTAGGTAAGCATATACTGTTCAGGAACCATGTGTCCTGTTAAGAGTTCAAGGCGGACATTGTTATGTTTTTATTCTCATCCTCCAGTTCATTCATTACCATCAAGGTCCCTTGCTGCAAGCAAAGTTCTATGTGCACATATCCAAATGGTGTCTTGTTATCTTTCCAGTCAAAAAATATCAAGCTATTTATATTCTTTTTTTTTCCTAGTGGAAAAAACAGGAGACTAGGAATAGTTTTGGTTTTGAATGCTTTAAACAGATGGATCAGGATCCAGATATTGCATACAGAATCACTGTATTCAATCACTTAAGCCATCAACAGGCTAAAGGATGTTGTGCCTGTTCCTGTGCACCTATACTTACTAAAATGTCTTGCTTGCCATTATAAAGTTCCACTTTCAGTTTGTTTATCTGCCGTTTGGCCTTGCCACAATCCTAGGTCACTTTCCAAATATTACATCTAGTCACAGCCTTCTTAAGTGAACAAGTATTCTAACTATTGCAGCGACATCCTGATGATAGTTC